CTGCCCAATATCACACTTCCCAAAGTTTGTACTACTAACTGGGATCTGTATAATAATGTGCAGGTCAGGGTGAGCCCAAGTGTTCCTAAACAACTTTACGGTGTGCTAGTCTCCGTTTACTTTTCCAGTTCCTTTTCATTCTCCAGGGTTGCTCTTTCACTTCTACACAGAAACCTCTGCCTAGAGCTGCACTGTGCCTTCCACAATTGTGCCACAACTGTGGGGAAACAGAACAATGTAGAGCTGTTCTCTGCCCTTCTGATGTGCTCTACTGACTGAAGGGAAGACCCCGCCCTCAGTTTGGGTTCCTGCAGCTTTTGTCTTTTTGATCCACTGCAAATAGCTTTACTGTGAACTCTGTTTAGATTTTAAAGATGCATTGCATGGGAGAGGAAGGCTTGCATATGTTTAGCCTGTTTTACCAGGAAGCGATCCCTGTTAGCCTTCTTGAAATCTCTCCTTTATTGGCCTTTACAGGTTTTTTTGTGCTTTCTCTTCTTTCCTAAGATCAAAATTTCTACCTGCTCACACTTGGTTCTCGTCTTTTTTCTGTGTTCTCCCTTGGGAGGGGTCCTTATTCTGAGGATGACAGGATCCTGTGGGCAGGTGCTTCATGTAGGCAGGGTACCTGTCCTCACCACAGACCAGCGTTTCTGCTGAATATGAATGTGGGTCCTCTCCATTTCAAACTCAAATGTCATTTCCTTGCTCACTCAAACTCAGCTGAAATGCTTGTGCATCAGTTCTGTTAGAACATGTGTTCCTGAGACTCAGGCTGTGTAAAGTCATGAGTAAAAATCACAGGCCTTATGGTAAAAGTAAAGTTAGGGATACAGCACTCAAAAGCCTAATCATTCAGAAAAGATAAAACCCGATGAAAATCACAGCATGGTTTTACACATCAGTGCTTAAGAAATGTGTAAGCATGATAATGAATGCGACACTTTCCTTTAAGAATGACCCAAAGCTTGCTTGTGGAAGAAGGCATAAGAAGGTAGGTTCATGAGTCTCTAATGAAGTTAATCTGAAGTCCAAAAGGGTAACACTAGATGCTTGCGGGTGTGGTCATAACACATGGTAAGTGGAAGATGCTGACATATTAAGGTGTGCCTATGTGGTTTTGTTGTCTTAAGCAGCATGGCTTAGCTGGCTGCATTCACTGGGTACTCCCAATAAAATCATCTATCATGATGGAGTGAGTTTGAGACCAGCCTGGGCTACAAAGTGAGCCCAAGGCCAGCCTGAACTACTAATGAGTCTCTGTCTCAAGAAGGAAAAAAAAGTATTTGAGTAGTTTTTTTTAAATTTCAAAGTCGATTTTATTGCAGTCAAAACAGTGGAATTAACTGTACATAATAAACTTGTATATATACACATTTTAAGTTACAGGGGATAATATTTTGGCAGATAGTATTCAACAAAAATAAAGTTGCATACATTGGAAATATAATTCAACATCATTAATTTTGTATGACACATGGTCTTGCTTTCTTGTGTACTGCTAAGTGATACCTAAACTTTTATAAAACTGATATGGTGAGATTTAACTGTTTTCCCTTATGTGCTGATTCCAAACAAAACTTTTCATAATCTTCAATTTCTGGGTCCATCTCATCATCAATATCATCCAAGTGCAGATCACCAGCCCCAAATAAATCTCTTCCATTTTCTTCATAATCCAGGGGTAGGGGAGGCCTGTCTTTGAAGTAACTTGATACCTCTCTTGGTAATCTGGATCAGCTGCAATAACACTATCAGATATATAAGAGGTTGGTTGATTGATGAAGTAGTTAGGACCATTTTAAGGTGTTCCTTCTCTGCTGAAGTTGCATGTGCTCTCCCCCAGTGACAAGTCTACAAGCTTCAAAAGCATCTTTTATATCTCTGCTGGAGTTTGTATCTAGGACATTTTCAATTCTCTGAATAATTTCATCCATATCAGTTTTTAATTTTTCTTTCCAAACATCTTCCAAAACTGTCCCAAACTGTCAACTTTAGTAACTTTACTGCACAAATCAGGTTATCCATCGGATAAGAGAAGAATGATTCACGCAAACCAACTTGAAGAGTATCTGCTGTTGTAACCTGGCCAGTTCTTTCCTTAATCTCTACCTAGGTTAAGATAAGCTCTCCCACAAAGAATACAAATATATGAAATCGTTTTTGAGTCACTTCATCCCCTTTTGCAGATTGATCATGAATTTCGTATTCAGTCCCACATTTGTTGGTAGATAAATCCCACAAGGTTTTGCAAAGCATCTTCTGTTGTAACCCAGCCATTCAGGACCTCTGCAAATCTTAGTTTCAGTTTCGAAACTGCCAGGGTGCGCTGTAAAATGATTTAAAAATTCGTGAACATAGTCTGATAGTGTGGGATAATCCTCTCGATCGTCTTCACAGGATTCCGTGTAAAGCAGAATAATTTCGGTAAAACTCGGTCGTTGGCAGACACCTTAGATATTAATGCAAGAACCACTGCCTGGGGCTCTGCCCTTGCTGACAGCGCTGGGTGGAGCTCTCGTCCTCCCTCGCTCTGGAGCCCGACGGAAACCGCCCGACCCGCTCCTCCGCCTCCTGGCCGCTGCGCTGGGCTCGCTCTGATGCCAAGCGGGCACACGCTCCGCTCTCTCCGGCCTGGGCCTGAATCCGCCACTCCACAGCCCGTAGATGCGCTTTAACTTGATTCTCTACGTGTTTCATACTGCTTTCAGGCTCCTCAGTGTTAACTACACAAACATTCTGAACTACTTAAAGCAAAAAATTTAAATTGACCCCCATTCTGTTATACACTATGTAAGTGTGATTATAAATACTTTTTTTTAAAAATGCGATTTGTTCCTTAAAGCATGTATTACAAACATCTTTCATGTAAATACACAGAGGTCTGCACTATTTTTAACTGTAAAATAGAGGAAACAGCTTTTGTAAACGGTTTTGAGAGCAGGTTCGTGGCATTAGGCAGTCCTGTGCGACCGCTGCCACCGTCTCCGCGATGTCCGTACCCATTAAACACCATCGTCGCAACGCCGTGGGGTTGCCATGAGATTTCTTTTCACAAATCTCTACTGTCACACAAAAAGTTAATTTTACATAAAGCTGAGTTCTTCGATTCTCGAACCTAAGTAAAATCGCAGACGAGAGGCGGCGAGGGAAACCCAGTCTTCTGCGCTCCGGCCGGGGCGCGCGCTGGGCTGTGCCGCCTGGGTCCGAGGAAAATTAGCTGGAGAGGAAACTAGGTGACTGCACGTGCCACTTTTCCTAAGCGTTTAGCGCTGTGCTGCTGAGCTTCACTGCTGGCTTTGAGCTCGCTGTGACTGGCTCTTGTACTGTGTGCTTTGCATTCTGCATTCTCTCGGAGGCCCGGTACCCGCACAGTGGCGTCCCGGTTTCTGCTGCGCATCTTTGTACGGGCGGTGTATCCAGACCCGCGGGGCGACTAGGTTTTGTTTCCATTTGGTTGTACAGCCCTGGAGTAGAACCCCAAGCCTCGCAATTGCTTCCCCTTGTTTTTTTTTTTTTTTTTTTTTTTTTTTTTTTTTTTAAGAGCCTAAACATAACCATTAAACAGTTTCAAAACTGGTTAGCAGAGGACCCTGGGAAACTGCTCCCCTCCCTGGCAACTGGCTGCCATGTGGCAGGCTGCGGCCCCTCCAGGGGGAGAACCACCAGTGCCTGAGATCCGCCCCATGTTGGAACTTAGGTCGCTGGGAAAACCAAGCAACCAGCCTGCCTCCTGGTAAGCAATAATGAACCTACTGGTGCACAGCCTAGAGTCAAACATCCCACTTCCCCTACCCCCTTCGCCTGTCCCCGTGCGCCCCGCCCCCCACCGTTAGCAAATGGAAATCAGAAATCTGAGCATCTCTTGGGAGGTTGACCATAGCAAATAAGGGGGATTTCCTTCTACCATCTCTTGAAGGCAAATATTTTTATTACTGTTTTGCTTTATTCTGATAATGTACTGCTCTATTCAATATTCTGTTTTTATCATTTTCTTTCTTTCTTTTTTTTAATTGGTACCAGGGATCGAACTCACTACCGCCTGCTTGCAAGGCAGGTGCTTATGCTGCTGAGCTAAATCCCCAGCCCTTCAATATTCTATTTTGATAAGCTCTACAATGTTCTGTAGTTCATTTTATTTTGATATATGTGATTGAAAGAACAACTATTGTAAAGATAACAAAATATACTGTGATACCTATTACTGTTATCCCGGTAACCTGCTGTGAAGTTCTGTACCAGTTTCACTACATGGTCTCAGTTGGCTTTATTCTGCCGTGTTCTGTTGTATTTTACTACCTTCAAAATAAAACATTTAAAAAGGCAAAAAACAAAACAAAACTTGGTTAGCAGGAGTTACAGTAATTAATACAGTGCATATTTCTGTGATTATAGTAGTCCCAGAAGATACAGGCATGATATCTCATCCAAACAATATTAACACAAACCTTTCTTGTCAACGAACTAAAAGAAATTAGCTGTATAACTATCTAATGTATACATATTTGTTTCTTCCTTTCACCCATCAGTTTGTCTTTTGGGGTTTCTGCCTAAGTCACAATATCTATTGTATATTTTAGATCTTATTTATTCATCCAGTTTCTCACTAGTGGGACAATATGATGTTTATACATATGAGTCTGATTTACTTCACTTAGGAATGTGGTCTCTAGTTGCACCCATTTACCCATAAAACTCTCCACTTTGGCCTTCTTTATGGTCAGGTAGTATTCCATCATATAAAAAGACCACATTGTTCTGCTATAAACGTGGGTGCACATATATGCCGTCGTTTGGATTTTTAGTACAGAGTCAGCTTTTCAAGCTGCGTGCTGTTATTCTCCAGCTCAAATTTGGCAATGGGTCAGTGTAGGAGCTGTTTCACGCCCACACCTCCCTCCCAGCTGTCGCTGAGGGAGGCTGCCCCGGAGCTCGCAATTCCGACCTGGTTTTCCGCTGCCCTCCAGCGCCGGGACCAGCTGCAACAACACGAGATCTCCATGAGAGGGCGCGCACAGGCTAGGACGCCACAGCGCACGCGCCGCCAACTGGGCTCGCTCCGGCGCGCCCCCGGCCGTTTCCGGCTGCGCTGGCGCGTTAGTGAGCGAGGCCCAGCGTTGCAGGTGAGCGCAGATTCGACTGGGGGCGGAGGGGGACTGGACTGGGGACTGCAGGACCCCGCGACCTGGCGTGGCCGCTGGGCGGGCTCCTCGTAGGCCGTGCTGCGCTGGGCGCGGAGAAGTGCGATGTGTGCAGAGAGACCCACGCCGCTCTGTGGACCAAGCGGAACGTGGCCGACTATCTGGGTTTGGTGTCCGCCCTGCGCCCTCTGCGCAGACCCTGGCAGCGGCGGAGTGGTCCTGGTGTCGCTGCGCTTTACTGGAAACCATGGGGTTGTAATGGGCATTGCATTGAGTGACGCTGATCTCTGCTCATAAACTTCTGTAAATTGATCTCATTTTGTTCCACCTTTTTCTTTTTGAAAACATCAGTGCAGCTCGTTTTCCCCAATTATCGAAGCTTTTCGTATATCAAAAACTGTGTTTAAACAGTGCCTGAATTTCTCAGCTGGCTAGTTTTCAGAAACAGTGTTTTGGATTTTTGTTTTATTTTCTCGTTTCTGGGCAGAAAATTCTTCAACCGTATAGGCTTGTCCTGACCTCAGGGCACCTGCTGCAGACGCATGCCTCTTTAAACAAAACTTATTGAGGTAGGCAAAAGCCATCTTTAAGAAACTGCTATTCTGAGTCACCTAATAGGTTTCAGTTCAGTCCAACCCCTGAACATGGCAAGATTTAAAAGGAGAATGTGAGTTTGAGGCCAGAAAATGTTTCTCTTCCATATATAGTTTACCGTCCTTGAGTCGGTTTACATTTGACTCAGTTCTTTTGTCTGCGAAGTGGGAATGACAGTTATCTCTAACCTCACAGAATTGATGTGAAGTTGACGCTGTAAAAGATGAATTTTTGCTGAAAAAATTGGAATTTCAGGACTTAGGAATAATTGAGGCTGTCAAGGCATTATACAGTCAACAACAAATGGATTGCTGAGTAATTACGAGGTTGCAACATAGATTGGAGACTACCAGTTTTTAGTCTTACTGAATTTTGTACCTACCTGATGGTAGCTTTTGAGTGTGATAATTTTCCATCACTTTAACAGACACCTGAGGTCAATAAAAAGAGAAATGCTGGGCATGGTGATGCATGCTTGTGATCCCAGCACGGGGCAGGGTGGAGGGTGGCTGAGGCAGGATTATGGTGGGTTTGAGCCCAGCCTGGACTACATAGTGAGACCTTGTCTGAAACAAAACAAAACCAAAAGAGAGAGAGAAAGAGAGAGAGAGAAAGATCTCTTTTGGTTATCAGTTTTGAAGGGTTCAGTCCATGGTCATTTGCTGTGGGGAAGGCAGCCTGGCATGGGGTGAGCATGGGACAGAAGAAGCTGCTCATTGACTGGCATTCTAGAAACAGAGACAAGAAGGGCCTGGGTCCTAATATCCCTTACAGGGCACGCTTCATGTCCTGCCTCTTTGCAAAAACGTTATTTGTGGTGGTATTGGGACTTGAACCCACAACCACAGTGAGCCACATTCTCATCCTATGTTATTTTATTTATTATTTGTTTTTGTGTGACAGGGTCACACTGGAGATCTACCTGCTTTGGTCTCCCAGAGAACTGTAAGGGATTGTACCTCCCATCTGTGGGGTACAGAATTACAAGCTTGCACCAGGCTAGGGCTCACCCCTTAAAGGTCCTAGTATCTCCCCCATATTACAAGGAGCTGGAGACCAAGCCTTTACCACATGGTCCTTGAGTGGCACTAGACAACCTAGCAGAGGGAAAATGGAGGAAGAATACAGTGCCGATGTGTAGGGCTTGAGACTGCAAGCAGGTGTGGTTTATAACATAGCTTCTAGACTTTTATCAGATTCTGGCAAGGTCCTGCGATTCACATTCATAAATGTGTGTTCATTTCATAAAAAGCACTCTTTCCCCCAAGTTGTGTAAGCTTCAGGCCCCATAAAACTGTGATCTATTCCTTTTGGCAAGGTAAGCCAGTGGAAGATTAGGAGTTTGAGGGCCTAAAGAATTAACGGTGAACTTGGGCTGATGAACTCTGGTGGGAGATGGAAGTGGTGCGTGAGAGGGCAGAGACACCAGGTTCGGTGGTGTGAGAACACAGCAGAGAAAATAGCAGGCAGGGCCCAGACTGCGGAGATGGAGGAGAGATGCAGTCAGCACTCAGCGCACTCCTGCTAGTGTGGGCCAGTGGGGGATAGCACCAGCAGGCAGACCCCTCCCAGGGCAAAGTCTAGAGGGAGAAGGACATGGCAGCTGGGACCTGGGCAGCCCCCAAGGCCCTTAGAGCACTGAGGAAAGCCTAGGGGCAGGAGTGTGGGGTTCAGGGGCTGGAGAGGCAGGTGAGCTGTCAGGTGCCCCTCCCACGGTGCTGGACCCTGACTGGGCTTGCTGAGCCCAAGCTCCACCACCGAACCACACCCTCAGCCTCTGGGGTGGGGGTCAGGGTGACGGGCCTGCTAACAACTTGAACTTTTTCTCAAGTTGCAGGGGACTGTTGAGTGTCTCTAATCCAGGGGAGATTAGATCTCTGGTTTAGAAGGGTCACCTGTGTGTATCAGCGCTGCTCTTCCACATACACAGAGAGAGATGGGTACAGACTTGGTTTGCTGAATGTGGTAAGGTCAAACAGTTGAAATAGTGACCTAGAGTTTCATGTATCTCCATGGATAAAACCAGAAATACGATGTAGAGCCAAGCATGTTGGTACAGGTCTGCGAAGCCAGCTACTCTGCAAAGGCAGGTCTGCATTTTCAAGGCCACCCTGGGCAATTTAGGAACTTGGTAAGACTTGATTTTTTCTCAAGATCAAAAAAAAAAAAAAAAAAAAAAAAGACTGGGAATGTAGCTCAGTGTGAAGGTCCTGAGCTCAATTCTTTATACCGCAAATAAATCCCCAAAACCAAAAACTTTAAACTTTTTCTGGGCTGGGAGTAGACCACTTGCTAGCATGCATGGGACCCTAGATTCCCCAGGTCTGTAAAAAATAACAAAAACACTGATGTTGAGCCTTAAAAAAAAAAAAGCCTAGCTCCAAAAGAATAGCAGTCCATCTCCACTTAAAGTCTGAAAACTTGTGCTGTTAGTAGTGGGCACATGTTTGTGCAAATATCATATAGGAAAATGATGTATGCCAGTGGTTCTCAGGTTTCAGCATGCACCCAGTTTACTGGAGAACTTACTAAAGCAGATTTGTTTCTGATTCCTGTGTCTAGCTGAATACTCAAGAATTTGCCTGAGTTCCCAGGGAAGCCACCCTGCATATCCAGGGCCTGCAGTTTGGAAATGACTGATGCACACCACTGTTGGGGTAGTGACCACTCCTTGGGCAGCGTAGACTTAGACCGAGAAGAATCCAAAGGTTTTGAATTCCTCTGTATATTTCTTTCACAGAGATTGGGCTCAGGTGCAGTTCTGTAGTAGTGAGTGCTTAGCCTGTAGGAGGTCCCGGCTTCAATTCCAGGTGTAACAAACAAACAAATAAACAACAAGACTGGAAATAATGCAGTCATTGTTAACTGACAAAGCCAAATAGATGTGCGTGATTTTTTAAATTTTCTCTTAAAGCATTTCATTAAAGAAAAAAAGATCCTATTTACTGTGTGGAGCATGAATTGGAAAAGAGAAAAAATGGGGAGACCATATATTCCAGAACTAGGTCGGAGTTGCTGGTTGCTGGGTGTAATGTCTGAAATCCCAACCTCCAGAATGCTAACACAGGAGGATTTTGAGTTCAAGGCCAGCCTGGAATACAAACTGAGACCCTGTCTCAAATGCCAAATAAAAGCGGAGAAAGGAAAAGAGAGAGCCAGCGATATGCTGGTGCCTTCTGCCAAAACAGAGGTGGTAGAGAAGGACAAATGAGGGACCTGGCCACAGAATTGGCTGTAAGTAGCTGGGAATGCCTGTAATCCCAGCACTCTAGGAGGCTGAGGCAGGAGGATCACAAATTCAAGCCCTACCTGGGCAATATAGCGAGACTACGTCTGAAAATAAAGTAAAATTAAAAACCTGAGAATGTAACTCAGTGGGAAGGAAGCCCTGACTTCAGTCCCCAGTACTGGAAAAAACCAAAAACTTGGGTGTATGTGTTGATTGGTTGGCCAGGACAAATCCTCTGGTTTGTTGCTTTGGTGAACGGTAGGTTGTATGCCTATCAGAAAGTGTAGCCCCAGAGATGGGGCATGCTGGGAACAGGGAGGGATAGTGATTTAGCTGCAGATACCCCAAGGAGCAAGATACCCCAAGTTTTTCTACAAAGTTCAGGCTTGCTTAGAGCTCACTTTGTAGCCGAGGCTGGTCTCGAACTCGCAGCGATCCTGCTGCCTCAGCCTCCTGAGTGCTAGGATTGCAGGTGTGCGCACCACGCCTGGATTTTTATTTTTTTAACTGTAGGTTTTTGGGGAAGAAGAATAGAACAGAGGACAATGTTTGTGATACATGAAAACTGCACAAATTCAATTTCAGTGTCCGTGAGTGAATCCTCATTGGGACACCTGTGTTCACTGTTCTCACTGTCTGGGCTGCACCCACCCTGGTGACAGGGCTGAGTAGCTCACACAGCTGTATGAGCCCATCACAGCTTTGGGCTGCCACAAATTGCCATGGTCTAATTACCATGCAGTTTCGTCATCTGGCCTCTGAACCTAAATATTTACCATTTGGAACTTTGTAGAAGACTTTGCTGCTCCCGGGGGTTTAGGTTGAGACACACTTGGTCACTTTTTGTTGGGAAAGAGAAGGCAATCATTCTATTTCTTTAAGAATATTTTCTAGCCGCTCATGGTGGTACAGTCTGTAATCCCGGCACTCTGGGAGGCGGAAGCAGGTTATTAAATCTGAGCCCAGCCTGGGCAACTTAGTAAGACCCTGTCCTGAAATAAAAAGTAAAAGAATGGACATATAGCCCAGTGCAGAGGCTCTGTGTTCAGTACAGCAAAAAGAAACACAAATAGGTCATTCTAAGAATCAGAGGACAGCTGGAGAAACCCAAGAGGCTGAGGGTGAACGGCGAATGTGACAGCATCGTTTGAAGTCCTTGAAGGTGACCTGAGCAAGTGGGCTGCAGAGAATGTGTGGGCCCGGGTCGGTCCAAGAGACACAGCAGAGGCCTTCTGGAAGCTGTGGCACCTGCAGCAGACAGAGGGGAGCCAGCAGGAGCCACCGGAGGCCGGTGAGGATGTCTAGCGAGGCTGAGGCAGTCCCATCTCCCGTTGGCAGGGCACCTCTTAATGACAGCACAGACAAGAAAACAGCATTTTCTTCTGGTAGTTTTTAAAAAACTACACTGTATTCTAAAAGTCAATTGTTTTAAAATTTCCTGATTGGAGGAAGCAGTGTTGCTGTGCTGACCTTTGACCTGGAGCCGCCTAATCCCTTAACTAGAAGACTAATTCTCAATCACCACACTTGTGAACAGTTTGAAAAGGGTAGGTGGGGACATGAGGCAGAACAGAATGATTTGAGAAGTGCGTTTTTATCTTTTTAAATTGAGACATACTTCACATCATAGAAGTTGCCAATTAATTAATTGATTTTGGTACTGGGGACTGAGCTAAGGCCTTCACGGTGACTGATGTGCCATACCTTTTTTTGCTCTTGTTTTGAGACAGTTCTTACTAAGTTTCCCAGACTGGCAATTTGGAACTTGCCATCCTCTTGCCTCAGCCTCCCAGCATCCTAGGATCACAGGCATCTACCACCATACCTGGCTAAAAGTTGCTATTTTAGAGTATACAGTGAAGTGATTTTCTTTTCAGCATGTTTATAAGATCTGCAGTCATCACTAATTCCAGCAGTTTCTATACACGAAGAAATCCCATGTTCATTAGTAGCGCGTCCTTATCTCACTTCCCCCAACCCTCACCAGCCATTAATCTGTTTTTCTGCATGGACTTTGTGTATTCTGGACATTTCATGTAGATGGAATCGTACAACGTGTGACCTTTGTGACTGGACTGTTTCACTGAGCATCATATTTCTGAGGTTCATTCCCATTGCAGACTGAATTAGTGCTTTAGTCCTTCTGACAACAGGATAATATTCTTTTTCTAGAGGTAGCACATTTATGCATTCATTGGTTAATTCACATTTGGGTTATTTCTGCTATTTGACTATTATCAATAACCTTGCTGTAGGGATTCAGGTACAGATATCTATATGAATGTATGTTTTGCTTCTCAGTCATATTTTGGTGAGCAGCATTATTGCATAATAATGGCAGTTCTGTGATACATATAGATATGCCAAATTGTTTTCCAGAGTGACTGTGTTTTACATTTCTACTAGAGATGTGTGAGGGTTACAATTCATTCTTCTTAAATACTCCTGGTTTTCTTATTTTTCACTCCTGGTACTGGGGATTGAACCGATGGACTTTACACAGAGTTATATACCCACTCCTTTTGCTATGAAACTAAGTCTTACTGAATTGCTGAATTTCCAAGCTGGGCTGGAATTTGTGATCCTCCTGCCTCAGCCTCCCAGAGTACTGGGATGACGGGTGCTTGCCACCATTGCTGGCTTTCCCACCCGTTATAAGTATTTATTTTGAGACAGAGTCTCATTAAATTGCCCAGGCTGGCCTCACACTTAGTTCTTTTGTCTCAGCCTCCTGAGTAGGTGGGATTACAGGAGTGCACCCCAAGGTCCAGCTTCATTATGCTTTTGATTTGCTCTTGCCTTGATGGCTGATGAAATTGAGCGTCTTTTTATGTGCATATTGGCCTCTTTGTCTCTTTGGAAAGGTGTCTGTTACGATCCTTTGCCCATTTTTAGGGTGAGTTATATTTCTACTGTTGAAAGGGAGTATTATCGAGTCATTCATCCAATATCCAGAAGGAAGTGTCAGAGACGCACCCCTTGGCTTCTTGGTGAGGCTTGGAGTGGAGCTGTACTTCTGGGCCTGTCAGCAGTTTGGACGTGGAAGTCATGAGTCCCGTGAGCTCAAGCCCAGGATGAGTGAAGAGGGCTGAAGCAAAGCCCAGACCCCTTCCTGCAGATTCTCCAGGGAGCACGGCTTTCTGGCCCCCAGACACCTAGGGCGGGCAGTGCTCCAGGACGGAGGGAGGGCTCTGCTGAGACTGTGGGGTGGGCTTGGGAGGAGCAGCCATGGGCTAGGGAGGAGAGCAGCTTGTGGACTCCGGCAGAGATGGCTGGAAAGGGAAGAAGAGAGTAGGGCTCAGCTGGAAGCCATCAGACACAGACACGGAGTCTGGACAGTGGGAGGTGGACACGGCCCATGGTTCAGAAGGAGGCCAGGCTGGGCACAGGTGAGAAGGGCTGGGCTGGTTTCCTTAGCAAGAGCCACTGGAGGGGCTTTCTTGAGTGGGAGCCTGAGAGAAGATAAGAGTATGCAAGAACACAGGGCAAGGCCTGGGGAACTTGAACGTAGACTCCCTGATTGCTTTTACAGGAAGTGGTTCAGGAAAACAGGAAACAAGATCCTGAAGTGAGAGCAAAGGTGGGGGAAGATGTGGAGGTGTGCGCATAGGAACCTACGGAGTGAACACGGCCCTGGTGATGGGGGCCAGCTCCCCAAGGCCTACCCTGTGGCCTCAGAGCCCCAGGGGCACATAGGCTTCCAAAGGACTCCGAGGAAGGTGCACTGTTCGGATTGCTGTGTTTTGTCTATGTGGTTACAATTTTTAACAAACCTCTTTTTTGGTGCTTCATGACAGGGTGCTTTAAACCAGTCCCTGGGACCACCCAGAACACCGATGGACCCAGGTGTCGGGATGGAGGCCTAGCTGGAAGGAGGAGGACACTCCTGGAAGGTGACCCTTGCTGTGTGGCTGTCTCTAGCCAGAGGTGTCTCAGCATTGCAGTGCTGACCCGCAGCTGAACACAGGGAAAGTCCGTGCTTGATGTGTCTTTGTGGTCATTTTACTCCCCAAGCAGCCTCTGCCCCAGCACCGAGTGACAGGCATGCTCTGCCCAGGGTCTCTCACCCCAGGTATGCCTGTGTCATTCAGCCTGTCCATATGGGCCCTGCGGGAGCACCGGTTTGGACCCTGCCGTCTCCTCCCGAGGAACCTCCTGCCTGTCTCGCTGCTGTAATTCTAACTCGCACATTTGCTGCCTCTTACCCCACACTGCTGCTGGGCCTTCTCCTCCCTCAGCCTCGAGCTGTCCCCCTCAGATCCTCCTTTCATACCTCTAGCGTCTTTGCTGACTAAAAATGTTCAGGGTTCAGGGTAGGGGTGCTGCTGTGCGGGAGAGTGCTCCCCAGCACACCTGGCTTCCACTGCTAGCTGCAAAAGAACAAAAGCAAAGAACACCTGAACTGTATTTTACTTATTTATTTATTTTGTGCTACTGAGGGCAAAACCCAAGGCGTTCACCTGAGCTAATCCCCAGTCCTCTTTGATTTTTCATTTTGAGACAGGGTCTCACTGAGTCATGGGGTTGCCCACAGAGGTCTTGACTTGAGTGTGACTGTGTCCCCAAATGCTGAGATGATTGGCATGGGCCAACATGCCCCACATTTTGCTTTTATTTTACTGTATTCATGAGTGTCTGTTTGGTGAAGACTACTGTGGGTAAGACAAAGATGTTGGTATGGACACCTCCCTTCCAGCCAAATTTAATGTAAGTGAACCTTAATTTTAGTGTGTAGTAAAGAACAGTGACTGTGGGAGCAGCTGACGTTGAGCTCTTGGTGCAAGCCTAGGACTCGGGGCCTCCCTAGCATATGTGACTTGTGTGGCAGAGAAGCAAGAGTGTGTGCCCCGTTCAGAGCCCGTGGTCAGCATCGCCTCACGGAAACCCCTGTCTCATGTCGCCCCATAGGAGCCGACACAGGAGGCCAGCATGGAGAGGAGATCTGCGGAGAGCAGGCAGGGCCGCCCGCACAGAGAAGCACCCCGCGTGGTCGGGCTGCTGCTCACCATGGCCCTCACAAACGCTCTCCTTTACCTCTGCCTGGACCAGTTTTTCAGTTCCCCTCCACGCTCCACCGAGGCCCCCAGGCCCTGTCCCCATGGCTTCTTCAAGATGGGACAGATGAGGAACTGCTCACCCTGGCTGTCCTGCCAGGAGCTGAGAACACAAGTGAGGCAGCTAAAGCGCGTTGGGGAAGGAGCTGTGAAGAGAGTGAGTGTGGGCTCGCGTCCATGCTGCCGTTGGTGGGCCCTGTGGGAGAGCCAGTCTGCACTGTGTTAGGTGCCGGAAGGGAGGCTGGGTGCAGTGCCGGGGTGAGCAGGGAGGGTCACGTGAGCCTGTGGGTCAACACCAGCCTGGCGATACGTGAGACCACACCCCAGGAAGAAAGCCATAAAGGGTCTTTCTCTCTTTGAACCCAGTAATCACATCTGGGGCAGGGTCCTAATAACCCGAAGGAAGGAGAAAAGCTAAATGCATAAGAGAATACCAAAAACAAGATGTTGGAGTGAATAGTTGCATTGTGATCAGCCTCTTGATGGAGTATTCTACAGCTAGTGAGTGTAGTTAGGAACCCCATAAAGCAAAAGGAGAAAATCTTGAGGTGATAAGTGAAAAAAGCAAGATACATAAGTATATTATTTTCAACTACAAGATTACATATTTTATATAAAAACACAAAAGTGATAGAAATGGTGTAGGGTAAAAGGGGGTTATAAACAATGCTTTCCTTGCTTTTCAAAGTATGATGGGATTATATTGATTTTTTTTTTTTTAAGTTTGAGAAAAGACACCACAGGCTGAATTGAGTTCTCTGCACCAGGGACTTTGTCTCATTGAAGCCGGCAGGTGCTCTGCTTTTGTGGCTGTCTCATTAGGGAAACACGGAAAGTTGTATGTTCACAGGGGTGAGATTTCTGAGGCATCACTTAAAAGAAAAAAACAAGTTATTACTTCTATATGTCATAATCACATCTATTATAGCTCATAAAAGCATAGAAAACTTCTAGAAGGATAACAGCCAATTGACAGGTCTGGGTTGGGAAGTAAAATTGGGCAAAAGGAGAAATACTTAGATAACTTCTTTTTTCCTTTTTCCTTTTTTTTCTTTTTTTGTACTGGGAATTGAATTCAGGACCTTGTGCTTGCCAGGCAGGCACTATCCACGGAGCTGTATCCTTAGCCACTTTTTTCAGTCTTAAAGAGAAAAAAATATAAGCAATGATAGAGGATTTCATGACAAGGAAATTAACAATGGTTAATATATTGAGTATAATCTTCAAAATAGTTGCTCAGATAGCACGAATGAGGCATGCAAAACTGATGAAATAATAAAAGCACAAACCATTCTTTTCAGTGTACTGAAAGAAATTATTAGCCAGGTGTGGCAGCGTAGGCCTATAATCCTAGCACGCAGAGGCTGAAGCAGGAGGATCACTGCAAGTTTGAGACTAATTTGGGCTACAAAGTGAGCTCCAGGCCAGCCTGAACTGCATAGTGAGACCTTGTCTCAAAAAGACAAAAAAACAGAAAAAAAAATAATATAATTATCTTAGCTATTAAACACATATACTTTTTTATTTTCTCTTGTTTTTCCTTTCCCCATTCTATTTGTTCTTTCCTTTTGAGCAGTTTCTTTCCCTTTCGTGATATCTATTGTAGGTTTTGGATTTTATTTACTCTTTCAGTTTCTTACACTATGGAAACAATATGATGTTTACATATGTGAGTCTGATTTATTTCACTTACGAGTATGGTCTTACCTATCATCAAGCACAATTTAGAAACTGACAGACTAACTATTGATTTTGTATTTAGGCCATAGGGGCTGAGTCAGTAGTTTGATAGTAAATTAGAAGAGGAGTTTGTATGCAAAGTGCTTCCCCTGAATTGAGTAGTTTTACCCTGTGGTGGGGACATCGAGGGAAGATAATGTGTAAAAGAAAGATAGCTGGGAAGGAAGTAGAAGCAAGACTGCAGGACAAACAGTGGCCAAGGGCAAGGTTTGGGAAACCAGAGAGGGAGGTAGAAAAGAAAGAATGAAGGATTCAAAGGATGGTCTGAGCGGTGTCTCTGGATTTGGGGGACGGAATTGGAGTTTCCCCAGCCACTTCAAAAAGAGAAAAGGAGGGAAAAAAAACCCCAGGAAGAACCATAAAAGAATAAGACAAGACAGAAAAAAGGGGAAAAAAGTTGAGAGAAAATGACTGGTTGTGAGTCCCGCTTCTTCCCAGGCTGGGTGCTGGTCCTGCGGTGTGGCAGGAAGGGTCCTCGGCCCTTTCTGAGATAAGTTCTTATTAAACAGTTCATGGTTTTGAACTTATGATCCTCCTGCCTCAACCTTCTGAGTGCTGGGGTTACAGCTGTGTGCCACTGTGTAATCACTCTAGGGAACTGTTCGTGATTAACTTTATAATTAAAAAGAAATAAAGTACATTGTTTTTGCCAAGTGGGATATTTTAGAAAGTGATTAAAAGACTAGAAGTTACTGAGAAATTATTATCATTACTATTATTATTACTAGTAGTGGTACCGGGGATGACACTTGCCAGGCAGGCACCTATGCCACTGAGCTAAATCCTCGGCGTCTGAGAAATCATTTTTAAGAATACATTATTTGCAGTTTTTTATCACTGGAGGTTTCAAATATTTGTAAGTGCTACCAAAGGCTAATTGTATTTAGTAATATATAATTAATAATCTGTAATTTATTTGAGGCCCCAAAATGACTTTGATAGGAATGGAGGTTCAGAAGGAAATCAGGAGACAGAGGTGCTTGGAATTTACTGTTTAGTGTAGAGTAGAAGCAGCTCCCTTAAAATGGTCAGTTTTTATGTGAAAATTGGACCTAGAAAATCAAACTCATTGGGGCTGGGGATTTAGCTCAGTAGCATAAGCGCCTGCCTTTCAAGTGTGTGGTCGTGAGTTCAATCCCTGGTACCGATAAAAAAAGAAAAAGACCAAAAAAAAAAAAAAAAGAAAGAAAATCAAACTCATTTACTAATGCTAATGATGATGATACAGAGCCAGCCTAAGGAAGTCATGGATGTTAACAAAAAAATAAGATTTTTGTATTAAATTAGAATCAAATATCAAATTTAGGCCACGTGTGTTGGCACACGCCCATAAATCTCAGCCTTCGGAAAGCTGAAGCAGAAGGATCAGTGTGAATTTAAGGCTGGCCCAGGCTACACAGGGAGCTCAACTGCTGAGTGAAACCATCTCAAAAAGACAAAAGTGGAAGAAGATGATATCCCAACTTAGTGGTGATGCAAATCTGTGGAGAAAGCATGTTCATATAAAATACTAAAAATTTAAACTATTAGAGGATGTAGTACGCAGAGCAAAAATGGCTCTTTTGTAGAAATTATGGTCCATAGTAAAATGTCTCAGATTGAAGGACTTGAGATACTGAAAGATTTCTTTTGAGTGTGAAACTTCTGCTGTAGTTATCTGAATTTTTCCTATAATGAACTTTCCTATCCAGAAGAAAGAGTCCTCTTAATGTACTTCCATGTTATATGACTTCTTTGTTTTTCTGTTTGAAGTCCTGGGAATCAAACCCAGGGTCGTATACATACTTAGGCAAGCACTCTACCACTGAGCTAGATCCTTAGACTTTGTGTAGTAATTTTGAGTTTATAAAAAATAATGTAAATTATAAAAAAATAATGTTTATTTTTAATTATTTTACTTTTTTGAGACAGGATTTCACTCTGCATTTTAGGCTGCCCTTGAACTCACTTGGTGGCCCAGGCTGGCTTTGAACATGCAGCAACTCAGCCTCCTGAGTGCTGGGATTACAAGCATGTGCCACCATGCCTGGCCTGCTTATTTTGAAAGAGTTGGAAAATACCAAAAAGTTTAAAAGACAAAAATAACCCAGATTTTCAGCATGCAAAGGCAACTAAAATATTGGCATATTCTCCTTTCACTTGTGTGTGATTTAATTTTATCTTGTTTCCTGTGGTTAGAATATTATATACATTCATGTTCATTTGAAATGCTATGGCAAGCAGAAACACCTGAATCACTCTAACCCAGGATTTGGAGGCAGATTTATTTAGTGATTGGGATCATTCTCAAAATACCAGGTCCTAGAGCTGGGCATGCACTCTTATAATCCCAGCAGTTGGGAGGCTGAGGCAGGAGGCTCATTTCAAATTCGAGACCAGCGTGGGCTACAAAGTGAGCCCAAGGCCAGTCTGAACCACATAGTGAGACCTTGTCTCAAAAAGACAAAAAATTCAGGCCCTGATTTCTGGTGGTCGAGGGCTTGCATGGGATAAGCAATCTGGAAGTATCATGGTAGAGTGGCTCATCAGCTGGAGATTGATTGTTCCAATGTGCATCATAGCCACCAGCCATTTCTAAGAAACAAAGGTAGCAAGAATCTAACCAGGATCTAACTATTACCTAGGCAGCTAACAAACTAAAGGATACTGGTGTGTGTGGGGGGCATCTTCTGCTACAATAATGTTACTTTGTATCTACTGTAACTCCATAAATATATGCATTATAATCACCAAATAACACCATTGATAATCCTGTCAAAATTTAACTATTCCCCATCTTCCTAGACTCTACTTTATGCTTTAATAAATGATCCCAGGATCCTATTCCTAGAGCTTTACATTTTTTTCAGGCTGTTGCCTTAGATTTAGATGCTAAATTCTTTTGATTAATGCCAAAAAATTGGTGTGCAGAATGGCATAGGAAATAGGGATGTGACTTGGAGGAGGTCACCACCCACTGTGCCTAGACCCTGGGTGACAGAAGAGCGGGGCAGGATGGAGAGGAGGAAGGAGAACAACGATGCAGCCCAGCCAGAGATTTCTGACTTCAGAATCAGTCTTTTTTCTTTGGTGCTGGGGATCAACCTCACAACCTCGAGCTTGACAGGCAGGTGCTTATGCTACTGAGCTAAATCCCTGGCCCCAGAACCTATCTTTAAGCAGACGATCCCACGTCTTTCCTTAATTGTAGTGTTCCCTGCAAACTTATTTTAGCTAATAAAAAGGTAGAAATTCAGCTGGGGATGGTGGCACACACTTGTAATCCCAAAAGCAGGGAGGTTGAGGCAGGAAGATGGCAAATTCAAGCCCATCCTGGGCAACTTAGCAATGTAGTGAGGCCCTATCTCAAAATTTAAAAATGGGCTGGGGATATAGCTCCAAGTGGAGGCCCTGGGTTCCATCCCAAGTATGGTGCGAAGAAAGAAAGAAAGAAATGCGAGGCAGTGACGTGCAAGCACTGTCCTCTGACTGTGCCATGCAGACAGGCCCGGTGTTCCTGTGATACTGCAGTCCTGCCTTTGGAGCTGCAGGGTCACAGAACTCGCATGTGGAAATGCTTTTTTGTGTATGGTTTGTGGTGCTACCTTGAAAGTTAGTGAGAATGAGGCAGATGGTTATGTGTGGTGGCCAGGTTATGTGTGGTGGCCAGGCGTCTCAACCCCTCTCTTCCTCCTCCTGTCCACCCTTTACGCTATTCGGTTAGAAGCAGCTTCCCCTCCTGGGCCTGCACACCGCTGCTGTCCACATCTGTGTTGTAAACCCTGTGAGACCGGCTATCCTGAGCTTCCAGCTGGTTCTCAGCATCCACCCAAGGATCAGTCTTTTCTGCCCTCTTTTGTGCTGAAATTTTGTTTTTGTCTTTGATCGTGTTTTTTGAAACAGGGCATAGTTGTGCAGCCAGGCTGCCTTGGACTTGCTACACAGCGAGGCTGGCTCCGAACGCTCAGCCCTGGCCTCCCAGTGCAGGCTGCAGGGGTGTGCGATGTGCCGCCTGTGCCCTGACTGGGCTCACCCTGCTGAGTGTTGTGTGTGTTCCTGAGTCTCTACAACTTGTATGGCTCTGTGACTCCCAGGACCTGACCTGTGTCTTTGGCATCGCACTTGCCACTTGGAAGATGGTTACTGTTTTGGGCCACTTCCGGTAAGAGTTTAGGTTTGATTTCTTTGTTTCAGGTGTTTCTGTCAGAATGGCAAGAACGCAAAGTCGCTCTCTCACAGCTCACCAGTCCAGAAATGAAAGACGATTTTCTCCATGGGCTGCAGATGCTGAAATCTTTGCAGAGCAAACACACTGTCACATTGCTTGGCTATTGTGAGGAGGACAACACGATTCTTACTGAGTATCACCCCTTAGGTTCCTTGAACAACCTGGAAAAAACACTAAACCTCTCCAAGTACCGAACTATGAACACATGGCAGCAGAGGCTGCAGCTGGCCATGGATTATGTAGGCATCATTGACTACCTGCATCGCAGCCCCCTGGGCACGCTCGTTATGTGTGACTCCAGTGACTTGCCCAAGACGCTGTCACAGTATCTTCTGACGAGTAACCTTGGCATTGTGGCAAATGACTTGGATGCCCTGCCCCTGGTGGACCACAGCTCCGGGATGTTGGTGAAGTGTGGCCGCAGGGAGCTGCGTGGGGAGTTTGTCGCTCCAGAGCAGCTGTGGCCCTCTGGAGAGCACATGCCTTTCCGTGATGACCTCATGCCCCCCTACGATGAGAAGGTAGATATTTGGAAAATCCCGGATGTCTCCAGTTTCCTTTTGGGGCACACAGAAGGGAGTGATATGGTTCGATTCCATTTATTTGATATCCATAAGGCCTGTAAGAGCCAGATTCCTGCAGAAAGACCCACTGCCCAGGATGTTCTGGACACTTACCAGAAGGTTTTAAAATCTCTTGGAGACGTTGTGCCGTCCCAGACAAGAGAGATGCTGTAAAGACCAGCGCAGCTCTTGAGGGACGTGCTGAAGGCCCAGTGATGTCCCAGCAGCCTTGCTGTGGTGGGGGAGGTTTTGGCTTGGCCTTGCTTTCGCTCTCAGCCATGCGCTTTGTACTCTGTATCCACCTGCACACCTGAGTGCAGCCTGGAGAGTTCCAAAGCCAGAGCAGACCTCGATATAATCTCACCTTTCCTTGCAGAAGTCATTTACTTCCAGGTGAAGACGCAGACAAGCAAAAAACCTACCCAGTATTTGAAGGAAGTGATAAAAATGCAGCTGTAAAGAGACTTCATCTACCTTAATAATTGAATTCTAATGTGAGAAATATGTAAGACAAGTTGTGTTGCTTGTTTTTAATTTTCATTTTATCAGGATATGTTTGTAGTACATAATTACTACCCTTGTCATGAGGGGTGGTATGTGATACAGCACATCTTTTTATGTCTCCTTCCTCTATCATCCTCTCTGCCAGCTCTTGATTCTCTTCCCACTTACAAAAGATCTATCTCCTCGTTTTCCGGTAGCTTTTATTTTTTTTCTTTATTTGTACTTCGGATGTTTTATAAAAGAGAAACCATATATTTGAGCTTTTGTGTCTATTTTTTCACATTATGGTGTCAAAGTGCATCCATTTTCTTACAGATAACTCAAATTTATCCTTTTCATAGCAAAGTAGTACTTCATTGTGTAGAGTGCTGTTTCTTCTTTCTTTGTTCATCTGTTGCATAGAAGGGTTCCTTTCCTTGCAGCCTTGCCAGCGTTTGTTATTTGATTTCTTTCTAGAGTAAGACACAATTTCAGTATTGTTTTGATTTGCATTTCTTCATTGGCCAGTGATGTTGGACCTTTTTTCATATATTAATTGGCCATTTGTACTTCTTCCAGTGGTGCGTTTGTTTCTTGAGGTGGAGCCTCACAGGTTTTGAACCCACAGTCCTTCAACCTCAGCCTCTTAAATACTGGGATTATATGTGCTGTTGTGCCTGGCTGAGAGATTTCTAAATAGCAGAGAAATTACATCACTCACCTTGGGCAGTGCTTTGATATTCCTATTTAACCAGGTTTTCTGTGTCCACAGTTTACTGTGAACAATTTTAATAAACAAATATCTGTCATTACTAGAAATTGTCAAGCCCTTCCATCAAGGGTGCGTGACTGGTTTCCGCAGTTCTTTCCTATGGCACGATCATCCTTTCCTGGGGAAGTGAGGGTGGCCAGGCTGCTAGCAGGCTTGGGCCCTCCTGAGAGGCTAAGCAGAGTGACATGGCCAGAGTCACTGAGGCTGGGCCTGCACACAGACTCTGGCTTAGCAGGTCTGGGAATGGAATCTGTGACTTTACTTTTCTGACTGGCTCCAATGATACAAGTCCTGCTGGTTTAGGGACATCTTTTGGGAAGCGCTGCCCTTGCCTCAGTGAGGTGCCTCAAACAGTTTGAAAGGGAAGTATATCAATATTGTTTACTAGATAGCCTTGTTCGGAATAGCCTGTCTGTGAAACTCACTGCACACGCCTTTTAATTTAGCTTTGTTACATAACACACTAGGTATGGCCTTAACAGACAGTAACAAGTGTTGGCAAAAATATGAAGGAACTGGAACCCTCAGAATGTTGTTTGGGGGAATGTAATTTGGCATGACCATCTGAGAAAAGAGTTTGACCTGCCTTAAAAAAGTTTAAAATTGAGTTATCAGGGGCCAGGCATTTAGCTCAGTGGCTCAAGCGCTTGCCTGGTAAGCATGAGGTTGTGAATTCAAGCCTTAGTTAAAAAAAAAAATTAAAATTGAGTTATTACACAATTCAGCAATTCTACTCCAAAATGTAATAATCACAAGAGGACAGAAAGCACATGTCCACACAAAGAGTGTATGTCAACATTGTCTATGAATGTTCAGACAGTAATTCGTCATAGACAAAAGGCAAAAGCCAGTAATGGTGTCTGCCTGTAATCATAGACCCTGTGAGGCTGAGGCAGAAGGGTCATGAGTTCCAGCTCAGCCTGGGCAACTTGGAAGCCTGCCTCAAGAAAGGGGCTGCGGGTGCTGGGAGTTTAGCTTAGTGGCACAAGCGCCTGCCTGGCAAGCTTGAGGTCATGAGTTTGATTTCTGGTACCAAAAAAAGAAAGGGGCTAGGAATGTGGCTCAGTGGGAGAGTTCTGGATTCAACACACAGACTACAAATAAGCAAATTGTGATCTACTCATGCAATGGAATATTATTGAACCTTAGGAAGGAATGAAGCTGGGAAGCATGCTACCACATGAGCAAATCATCCTAAGTGAAAGAAGTCACTCACAGAAGACTATATTTTATGATTCCATTTATATGAAATATCCAGAGTAGAAAAATTCATAGATCAGTGTCTTAGTTTCTCTAATTGCTGGGACAAAATATCTGACACCCAGAGGTTATAGGATAACAGGCTTATTTTGGCTCACAGTTTGTAGTGGTTTCACAGTTTGTAGTCCATTGTTGGCTAATTCCAGACCTTGGGAAGGATGAACTATGAGGCCCCCACATAGGCACATTTGGGCTTACATTCCATTTTCTAAGATTTATGTATCATTTTCCTGTTACCAGTTAGTTGCTTTAGAAATGGTTCGCCAGTTAAAGATATTCCAGGTCCTTCTTGCCTCCAACAAAGGATTGGATGAAGCAAGCCAGAAATAATGTCAAAAGTCAGCTGAGAAATGAAGGGCAAAGGGAAAAACTGGCTCTGCCCCAGTGAAAGTGGCCAAATGAGAGGAAAGGATGAAAACAAATTAAAGTCCACCCTGTGTGCAGGGTTATTTAGTTTACACTTTTCGGAGGCTTCTGTCACAGTGGTGGGCTCCTTGTGGCGTCTGTGTCTTTATATGCTGTTCACATCTCATGGGAACCAGTGAGAGTTCTACATGTGGGCATTGCCCTGGTATCTTGTAATTGACAGGTCCCACATTTCCCTAGCTATCTTCGCCCGGCCTTACCTCCTAAATAATTACCTTACTTAGCAAAATAATGAATCCTATAATTCTTTATGGGGTGCTGAGGGACTGGAGGTTTTTTCAGTGTAATTTCTTTAAGTTGGAAGGGGCATTATATACTCTCCAATTAACCTTCCTACTCTTAACCTCTGTTGTTTCTAGAATTCATTCCTTGATTTTAGATCACACAAACTCAGCACCTGAGACATCTATCAGGTTGGGAGTTACAATGTTTCCCTTATATTATTTGGAGGTTTGTATGTCATCCTTATGTCGTATGTTCTATATCATTTAGAGATCTCCTACTGAGATAATTGGATGGAGGTAAGAATTTGTTTTTGTTTCATAGATTCTGGGTTTTAACTCGGTTAGGTAATCAAACATTTTATGCCTTAAAAATGTTAAGCATTTTGTCTCTTACATACATTGTTTTGTTAAAATGATAAATTTAAGTGAAAACATGGGAAGGTTATGATGCTTCTTGAAAGGAATATTTTATTCCCATTTTCTATATGTTGCATGTGAAATATTTGCTGAATTTACTTACATTCTTTTTTTTAAAAATTTTTTTTTTTTTTTTTTTTTGTCTTTTCCCTTTTTATCGGTACCGGGGATCGAACTTACGACTGCCTGCTTGCATGGCAGGCGCTTGTGCCGCTGAGCTAAATTCCCAGCCCCAGCTGTTACATTCTTAAAAACAGAGAACAGGTTCTCCAGCATCTTCTGGTGAATTTCCACTGAAGTCAATGGCAAATGGAATGTTGACCAAACAGGCAGTTGGGTTCCTTGCTGGAGATAGATCATTGCTTGCCTACATCAATGAAAACTGAGCAGAAAATTGAGAGGTCACAGCAGAGCTACTTTGTGGCAGGTACCCAAAGATTCCTCAGTGAAAGCTGTGTCTTGGCAGCCTGACTGGGTAACCAGCAGAAAAATCTCTACCTACCTGTCATCTCTATCTGCACTTCTCAGTGAGGGAAGAGGTAATTCTTTCAGGGATCTTCTAATAACCTCTTCTTAAAGCCTCCATTAAGGTGGAGCTACAGGGTTTTTTTTTTTTTTTTTTTTTGTCTTTTTGAGACGGGATCTCACTATGCAGCTTCAGCTGGCCTTGAACTCACTTTGTAGCCCCGGCTGGCCTTGAACTCACAGTGATCCTCTTGCCTCAGCCTCCCAAGTGCTGGGATTACAGGCATGTGCCACCACGCCCGGCGAGCTACAGGTTTGAACTCTCTGCTAGTAAGTTAGAAACATTTCTCAACTTGTTGGGAGTTAACTTTAGAACCAGTTTGTTGTTAGACTGGCCCTCTCTTCAGAAATCAGACAGATGAAGCTTGCAGCTGTCCTCCATTCACAGAATGTCAGGGTTTGTGGGTATTTTTGTGGGTGAGATCCCCAAAAAAAGCATGTGGAGCCAACATTAGCAACAACAGCAAGCAAATACCTTTATCATTTAGACTTTACATTGGCTATTATCACATATTTATATTCTTATATGCTGAGTTAACCTGTTGTGCATGGATAGTTGTTTTAGGACATTGTTCCGTAAGTGTATTCTGGTGTGTGCCTGTGCCAGATAGTGGGTTTATGTCTTTACACATCCTCGGATGCCCCAGGTTTTGGAGCAATCCTGCAGTGGTTACCCACATCCCACCTCCTCAAAGGTGAGGGCACATCACTTCCTCTGAGTGGCCTGTAGGTCTGATCTGTGTGCACACTGTCCATGACAGTAGTAAAGTGAAGAGCATGACACCACTAACTACTGCAGGACAGCTTTTGACTGCCCAGCACCAGGTTGATCCCAGTGAACCCCACTACGTGTGACGGCATCTTGGTGCAAAGCTTGAATGGTGGACACTTCCAGATTCTTTTCTTGCAATGCTTCTTCCACCTGCATGTCATAGTCAGGGATAAAAATACAACATTCTACATGCCAAAGAGTACAAATACCTTCTTACACTGCAGTTCACAAATGGAGGGCCATGTAGTTCTGTGTGACCACTTTTCTGACTTGGGAAGTCTCATCCATGAGCAATATCAAAGCCTGGCACAGATATTCAGGTCCTGAGTTACATGTTGATCTAGGGCTTCAACCTGAAGGGCCAGGTCTGTGGCCTCTGCCCCTAGAATCATCAAATCCATCGAATCAAACCACCAGGCCACCTGTTGAGTATGGTGCCACCTGCAGTCCACAGCATCCCAATCGGGTGTGTCTGTGTGGGTAGGTCTGATAATGCCCTAACCACATGGAAACCCCAGGTGTAGTGACCTGCCCAGATACAGGTAGCTACAGACAACTCATTGTACCAAGATCCGTAAGTCTTCCACAATGGGCCAGTCAGTTGGCACTGCACTGTTGTATTTATGTCCATCCTAACACTTTATATCATTTAGCAGTAATATGTGGTTTCACAGGTCAGCTGGTAACCACCCCATAGTTTGGTTTCCCACTGACATACTTAACTGACATACTTAACATACTTAACAAAGTGAGGTGACCAGGAATGTTACTTAATTTCCCATCATCCACCCTCAGCCATTGTAAATATATAACAGGCCCAGTCCCTGTGGGGGTAGTTGTGCTTTTCTGGATCAGGGCATTGATAGCCTAGCATTGC